GCGAGCCCTTCCCCTGTCTCAGGAGCAGGGCCCAGGTTCAGTTGACAAGCCACACAGAGGAGAGCTCACTAAGCTACAAGGTCAGGGTCACGCCGTGGTGTCCAGGCTTGGACTCCAAATTGGAAGCCGGTGCTTCTAAGGCCATCCCTCCATCCTGCCGGGTCACCATGGCGATACGGTTCCATTTCCTTATCAGTAGAACGTAAAGTCCCTTCCAGGGACATCAAAGTGACTAACTTTATTATCACTCTGGGAGTCAGTCAGGGGAAGCCCTGGAGGAACGGCAGGCTAAACCTTGTGCCTGCTAACTGCAAGGTCAGAGGTTCAAACCCTCCTCCAGGTGCACCCCCAGGAAACAGATGAGGCTGTCTGCCCTTGAACTGTCTCTGAAGTAGAGTGGACCTCTAGGCCTGTCTTCTACGAAGAATTCGAATCACGATCCTTTGAGTTAGCAGGGCTTCTCCTCTGTCCTACAGAGCATCTGTGTGCCAACGAGATGATTTCAACGAGTAGAGACCCTGTGTAGACCGTTTCCAGGGCTGTACATCGTTATGGACGCAGGCAGCCTCACTTTCCTCCTGTACAGTGGGTGGCCGGTGGGCTTGAACCACTCATCCCGCGGTTCGCAAGTTGGCGCTTACCCCACAGCGCCACCAGGCCTCCTTTTACACAATACTATTTTTTTAAAAAACCATCCATTCAATTCAGATGCAGAGCAAACCAATACAGGGCTTTCAAAGGCTATAAATATTTTGGGGAACAGGTGTGGTAATGATTTCTTTTGTAAGAATTAATACCAGACGCATTCCAAGGAGTTGGGGATTGATGATGTCCCAAATGTCCAACTCTTCCAAGATGCTACCCTGCTCCATTTCCACCCCCCACTCCTCCTCTGGGTATTGGGCTAGTTAGGTTTATTGTGCCAACTAGGCCAATAGGAGCATGTGGGCGGAGTTTAATCAGGTCACAACTTGATTGGAGGCTGAGATAAATGGCTCTGCAGGGCCCGCCCCTATCTCTTGGCTCCCTGGTAATCAGACTATCATGCTGCTGCTTTAGCTACTTCTCTGCCTCAACCTGTGTGCAGCACTACCTGTGGGCCAAGCCAACCCGTGGATCATGTGGCTAGAGCTGGAGGCTCCTTCCAAGACCTGTTTTTCCATACACGGCTTGAGCTTGAGGCTGTTGGATCCTGCTGTGCCCATGCATTCCAGATCCCATCAGGGCCTGGATCCTGTTGTGCCCATGCATTCCAGATCCCATCAGGGCCTGCTTTACTAACCTCCCAGGCTACTGACGTTGCTGACCCACCCTGCCGTTTGTTGCTTTCAGGTACTCTGCCTGCCTTACCTGAAGGAAGACTCGGCTGTCTGTTTCCTTAACCTTGGGCACGGCAGTCCATGGAAGTTAAAGGACTTCCAGTATATTACCTGTTCCATGAAAGTGAGTTGAACTGAGCCCTCTGTACAGCTGTGGGGCCTAATTAGCTGTTACAGTCCTTATCGCTGTATAAACCCATCTATCTATCTATCTAATTTTAAGTGGCCTAGTTTTGTTTCTCTAAAGAACTCTGCCTAACACAGGCGTGTTCTCTGACGACCCTGGGTTCTGCAATTCGCTGCAAAGTCCCTCAGAAACACATGAAATGCCAAGGTGATGGTGTCTCAAGTGGTGGTGGCTGTTCAGCCCTAAATCTGAGGGTCAGGCCGAGGTGAGCCAAATTCAGGGTCCAGAGCTAGAAACAAACCAAAGACGTCCCAGAGCCACGGCAGGTCTTCTTGCTTCTACCAAAGCTCAGTCAGGAGAACAGAGGTCGCCCTCTCTGGCCACATGGGCGCAGGTGTGCAGAGCTGCATGGTGGTGCCACTATGTACCCAAGGAAAACAAAGAGTACGGCTTGGTTCACACCCAGGACTAAACCAGAAAGCCAAATGCCCTTGCATCGAGTCGATGCTGACTCATGGCGACCCTACAGGACAGGGTGGAACTGCCCCTGGGAGTTTTCAAGACTGCAACTCTTTATAGGAGTAGAAAGTCCAGTCTTTCTCCCTCCGAGTGGCTGATGGTTTCGAACTTCAAACTTTGAGAATCACGGCCCAGAATGCAACCACTATGCTACCAGGGCTCCTTACCCAGTACTAAAGTGGGTTCTTATAGATGCCCTCAAAGAAACAAGCTGTGGCTCGGCCTACAGGCTCTACCAGGTCAGCTGTGGCTCGACCTACACCCTCCACCACCTCAGGGGGGAAAAGCTTTCAAGAAACCAACAGCTCTCCTCTCCCCTATCGGGTCGCTATGAGTCTGTATCGACTTGATGGCAGGGAGTTATGAGTGGTCTGGGGATATTTTTTCACATAAATGCTAAAAGGAGGCCTGATGGTATAGTGGTTATGTGTTGCACTGCCAACCACAAAATCAGCAGTTCAAAACCACCAGCCAAACTCACTGCCCTCAATCCATAAGTCAATTGAGACTCATAGCAACCCTACAGGACAGACTGCTCTTGTGGGTTTCCTGGGCTATAATTCTTTACAGGAGTAGAGAGCCTCATCTTTCTCCCTAGGAGCGGCTGGTGGTTTTGAACTGCTTGTCTGGCCTTTAGCAGCCCAACACGTGGCCCATTATGCTACCAGCTGTTCCACAGGAGAAAGAGGAGGCTTTCTGCTCCGGTAAAGAGTTACAGTCTTGGAAACCCACAGGAGCCGTTAGTTCTACTCTGTCCTAGAGGGTCCCTATGAAGGTCGCAATCAACCAGATCCATAGCAATGAGTTTCAGATTTTTTTGAAACTAATATTAATCAAGTATTCCGCATTTCAACACCAAACAAACAAGTACACGGGCACAGTGCGAAATGGCCAAGTCCTTAAAGCCAGGGCCCTCCCAGGGGAAGAAAAGAAAAGGAAAAAAAAAAAAAAAAGCAGCTGCTGGCACCCTGCCCCTTCCTGACACTTCCACATCAAAACCAGAGGCATTCAGAAACAAAGAGCTCTTGCAAGGGAGGGGAGGGCCTCTGGGAACAAGAACGTGGGGGACCAGGGGTCGCAGTATCACAAAGTCCAACGGAAGAACTCACAGGGCTGTGCTGCCTGTCGCGGCAGCTGGAGGCTGGGGGGGAAAGCACTTGTGTAAAGAGGTGGCCGTGATTAAGAAAGGGCTGTGGGAGAGAAATTTAGACACACACACATGCACACACACAAGCGTGAACCAGAGAATCAAACTGGCGGGGAGAGGAGGCTGGGGCCTGGAAAGGTAGATGCACAGGGAAATGTTGGACAAGGAGAAGCACCCTCTTGAAACTAAGCTGAGGGAGGCGGGAAGGCTCCACAGTGAGGTCGAAAAGGAAAGGGGTAGGTGCTCAATTAACCGGCAGTCAGAGAACAATGTAGAGAGGAAGTTTGGGGGGTGGGGGTGACCAGGAAAGGAGCCTATTAGAAAAGGTGGAAAAATAAAAACAGGAGTAAAATGCCTGCACCTGGTAAGCAAGCAAAGGAGTCCAGGGGCACAGTGGATGAAGCACTGCGCTGCAAAGGCAAGATAGGTGGTTCAAACCCACTAGTAGCTCTGTGAGTGAAAGATGAGGCTGTGAGCCTGAGAAACCCACAGGCGCCGTTCTGCTCTGTCCTACGAGGTCTCCGTGGATCAGAAAGGACTCCATGGCAGTGAACTGAATAAAGAGGAGCAGTGAACCGCGAGGCTGGAAGGGGTTAAGAGGAGGGAAAAAAACACCAGGCAAAGGTAGAATGGGAGGCAGGCACCCTGCAGAGAAAGCCTTGGGGGCCGGCGACAAGAGCTGCACAGTGCTGATAGATAGCGTTGCATGAATTAACGTGATCTTTCTATTTAACCAACAGGATTGTCAAGTGCTGAGAAACATCTAACAGAGATGGTTCTGTTTGCTTATTGTGGTTGGTTTTTATTTGTCTATTTATTTATTCACTTATTTCACTTGGAGGGAGGTACGAGTCGCAGTCTGATGGGGAGCCGGCCAGCAATGGTCACCTGATTTGGGCTTGGGCTTAAACCTTCCTGGGTCTGGCCAGCCAACGCTCCCCGCCCCGCCCCGTCCTCCCGTCTCCAACCCTACCCCCCACCCCCACCCCGCCCTGCACAAGAACAGAAACCCAACAAAGCAATCCTGCCAATGTGCTCCTCAAATCAAATGAGGCGCGACCCCTCCCCCTGCAGTCTTTCTCCTGAAATAGGACCCTGTTGGGAAACTCAAACACAAACAAGCAAACAAAAACACTTCCCTGCCCTCGAGTCCATGCTGACTCCCGGCGACCCTAGAGGACAGAGAGTAGAACTGCCCGGCTCATTCCGCCCGCCTCGGTATTTTTTTCTGGGGGGCGGGGGGAGAAGCTGCATGGGTTCGAACTGCTGACCCTGCGGTTAGCAGTGGCCCAACTACCAAAAGTTCCTTTCGAAGGTACATTCGCCAAGCCCAACAGGGTCGTCCAGCCCCGGGGAGGTCCTGCGTGGCTCTACCTTACTGCCTGGTCCACGCGGGCGGGAGCAGATGGTAAGAGGGCCCCGCCACCCCGAACCTTCGTCCGCCCCACCCCCGGTGCGGCGCTCGCGCCCCAGGGACTCGTGCACCGGAGCGCCGGATAAAGTGTCCCTGGAATACCGTCCGTTTCCCGCTGGAAGCTGCCTTTTCAAAGGGACTTCAAGCACACGCCCGCCCCGGGGGCGATAGCGCGGGGAGGACTGGAGAGGAGGCTGGCGAGGGCACCGGGCGAGCGCAGCGTGCCAACAGGTGGGCAGGCGCCGGCCGGGATTCCGAGCGGCAGAGGGGCGGAGGGACAAAGCGCTCGCGATCGGCCCGCTCCTCGGCCCCCGGTCCCCCACCCCCAACTCCGCCCAGAGGGTCCTGGACGCGCCTGAGCTGGACGGAAAGGAACCTAAGTGCTCTCCCGGCGGACAGACGCGGTCAGCCCGCCCAGCCCGCGCCCTCCGCCCCGCTGGCCCCCGAGGAGAGCGGGTCCCCCGGCGCACTCACCTAGTCTCCGAGTCGGGGGACCTCGGCGCGCA